TCGGAACATTGTGAGCTCCAAGGAAACAGGAACTGTGTTTGTGTTTGGAGTCCATGGAAAGATATTTTGGATTATATGACGTATTGCGTTGGCCCAAAGTATTGAAACATATATATATATATACTATGGAAGATATTACGTATAATCAACCCTAGTTCACGCACGCTCCTCGCTCGTCGACCTCAACGCCTCCCCCTTTCTCTCCGACTCGACCTCCCTTCTCCGACTAGTCACGACCTCTCTCCCTCCCTCATTTCGTTGGACGCGAGACCTCTCTCTCTCCTTCAGTTTGTCGCCGACTCGTCGGAACCTCTTTCTCCGTCACAGGCGAGTTCGATTTGTGTTTTCTGAGCCTCCGAGGTAACGATTTGTGGGTTTTCTCTGAGGTTTTCATAGATTAGGGGTTGAGTTCGAGATTTCCGTCGATTATGGCTTGATTTCTAGATTTTCTCTTCTTGCTGATTCTTCTTCCCGGCCGAGTGTCGAACCCTTTGAGATTTCCATCGATTTGTGCATGCGTGTCCGACTCTGAACTCTATGAATTTTTTGTAGTAAACGTGTTAGGCTTGTTTTCGAGATTCTGTGGATGATTTCTTCTGAGGTTAAGTTGAGACGAAATTTTTGTATAGATTTTAGGTGTTATCTTGTTTTCGAGACATGTTCTGCTTCTGTTGTTATTCGTTTGTGTTTCGTTATCTTCGAAACGCCGAATCTAACATGGTTTCTGGTTATGTTTACGATCTTAGTCCCCGATGTGTATTTTGGACAATTTGTCGAATGTGGTTGATATTTACAGTCCCAAGGGAAGATAAGGAATTATGAGCATAACGAGGAACAAAGTTGTTGTCGACTGAGAATTTGAACTTATTCGTCTACTAATTGTTCTGTTTTCTTTCTCTTTTTGGTCTTCTGTTCTTTCAAAATTATAGGTAGTGGTCGCCATTGTTGTTGGCGAACGATAAAAGATGGATGCCAAAGTATCTAGCTCGCCCGGAAGCCTCACTGATCAGATTGTGGTGCGTATTTCTCCCCACTCACTTCTTTTGATTCCAATTAGGATTCGATACACGGAATAAGAGCGCTTGGATAATCTTTCAGGTTCCGGGAGACGTGGTTCTTGATTTATCTGCCATGACTAACCAAACAATCAAGCTTGGCAGTGGCCTTCGTCAGGTTTTTCCTTCTCAATATGGAGTTTTGGTGCCAATTACATCGTAGCTAACTGCGTCATTGTTTTAGAATGATTGATATTTGTTCTTTTATTTATGTGTATCGGCGTGTGTCTTTGCAAGCCATAGTGGCCAGGAATATGACAATTGCTATTCTGCCCAATTTCGTGTTGGATGAACGAATATCTCAATGACTTTGCAAATTGACAGTATTGCCAATTTACTCAAACGATGTGTTTTCACGACCATTATTCACGTGACTGCTTGAGTATTGTCGTGAAATTAGTACCTTTATAGAGTGCATTATGATCTGTGAAGTCATAGCTAAACCAATATCTGACTTTCTTCAGGACGGTGATGTGATATCTGCAATGAAAGCTGGGAAATTGAGATACTCAAAGCCAAGTAAATACTGGGTGGAAAGTTCTCATAAAAGGGTGAGCACATCAGATGAATGAATCCATTCTTGGTTGGTTATTCCTAGTGTCCTCTAGCCAAAGCAGTATCCAAACTAATCGTCCACATCTGGAAACTCTCTAGTAAGCCATTCGGCTTTATCGAGGAGAGGGTTGTCTTTTGTAATTCTGAAATCTGGATTTGAGAAGCATTTGTTTATCTGGCACTCTAGATTTGACAATTATTCTAACAGTATCTAGATCGGTTACTGATTGCCAATGGAGCAGTCTTTCCATTCATTGTTGACTTTGGTGTTGTGGTTTTTGCAGTACACACCTTGCCCGGAGGATCATGTTCTTGGCATCGTGGTAGATTCTAGAGCAGATGTAAGTGTTATGAAGTGTTACTAATATGAATCCTAGAGTTTTGTTTGTAACCATTTTATTGTCTGTTTTCCATCTATATGATGCAAATACAATTTTTTTATAGCACGCTTGTGTGCTTCCGATTCTGGAATTTTCCTCTTCATCCCTCATTGCTCCATTTTTGTTTTGTGTCAAACACTTTTCATGAATTTTCCAAATCCAAAGGATGGAGGATGACTTGTTTGGTGGGTTATCTTGGATAGGCTAATAGTTGGGAGTGGACTTAACTTCAGCTAATAAATTTCAAGGGGGAAGCATTAGAGATAAAAGTCTTTTGGTGCATGTGTGGGTCCTATTAGGACAAGTTTTAATATGATATCAAACTTAAATCATTTGATATTTGATTGTTTGCTCGTTATTTCATTGCAGAATTTCATGGTGGACGTAAAAGGACCTCAAATGGCGCTTTTGCCTGTACTGGCATTTGAAGGTGGGACAAGGAGAAATATACCCAAGTTTGAGGTCCGTAGAATCGAAGAATTCATGTTTTATTGAACTGTTCATGAAAGAGTCTTGAGGCGGCATTGCGTTCCATGTTTAGTAATAAGTTGCTTGAGATGCGAGAATGTTTCGACGTTGCTCGTGTAAATTATTTTAGTCCATAGGTGACATGTGAGCCTAACAGATTTAGTATTTCATTTGTATGGTTGTAGTCGTAACTATCAAATATCTCGTCTTCTTTTTAGCGATAGATCTGCTGTGTGAAATGATCATATGTCATTTGCTCAGTTTTCAGGATAACATCTTCTTGCAACAGGTAGGCACTCTAATCTATGTTCGGGTTGTGAAGACGAACACGGGAATGAATCCGGAGCTGTCATGTACTGACGGTGAGCCCGTCCATCTTGTTTCTCTGTCAATGTTTGTTTTCCATGTTAGTTTCTGCACTAATTAATAACTTGATTCCATTTAAAAGCAAGCGGAAAGGCTGCAGAATTTGGACCCTTAAGAGATGGTTTCATGTTTGAAACTTCAACTGGTTTGGCAAGGATGTAAGGCTCTTCTTGTTCATATTTCAGCATTTTTGTTGGGCTGAGTTCCCTTGCATCTCCATTCTTGACATACAAAGGGTCTTTCTCTTATCTTAAAGGTTGCTAAGCTCACCAACATGCCCAGTCCTCGAAACCCTTGGGAAGAAACTTTCATTCGAGATTGCGGTCGGCCTAAATGGCAGAGTCTGGGTATATATATACATAGACATTATATCCTTGATCTGCAGCATTTTGTTAGCATATAAATTCATGGATAGGATAGCTCGGTATTTATGCCCTTTGTGTGTTCTGAGAGAACTTGTTAACGCACGATTCCAGGTAAATGCAGCCTCTCCTCGTGCGGTGATTATTGTCGCCAATGCGATCATGAACTCTGAGTTGTTAAGCGGGACACAGCAGAGGATCATGGTGGAGAAATTGCTTGGAAAAGTCTCAGAGTGAGGTTGGTTAGTCTAACGTTGCGTGCCAAAGCTCACACTTGCTTCCCCAGTTTCATATGATACATTTATTGTGTAGTGATCCAAGAGGGTAGCTCTGTGTGGGATTGGCGTTAATGCTTCTCCATCAATTGTTAGGGTTCTAATGTTCGCCCAAATGCCTATGATTCGTGATCGTTAAATCTGTATCCATCCAGCATTCTTCTGTTTCTTTTTCGGGAAACTTACCTAAAAAGGACAGATGTGAAGCATCAAGAACAGGTTATGGGTTTCGGTTCCATCTTGGACATTAATCCGAGGTTGATGGGTTTGTGTTCTTAATCCATTTGTTCGGTTTAAGTTAGGGTTTCGATTTGGTTCATTTTGATTCGATGGGTTTCTTTGAAATCTTATTTATTATTTTAGTAGGGTTTAAAATATCGTAGTGAAATGAAATCA